GATTCAATGCAATCCCTAGTAAAATTCCATTGGCATTTTTCACAGAAATAGGAAAAATGATCTTAAAACTGCTATGGGAGCACAAAAGACCATGAATGACCAAAGCAATCTTAAGAAAGAACAAAGATGAAGGCATCACTCTCTTGACTTCAAACAGTATAAGGCTTTAGTAATCAAAACACTATGGAATTGGGGCACCTGGGTGGCTCAGTCGGTTAAGCGTCCAGCTTCAGCTCAGGTTACAATCTTGCGGTCCGTGAGTTCGAGCCCCGCGTCGGGCTCTGTGCTGACTGCTCGGAGCCTGGAGCCTGTTTCGGATTCTGCGTCTCCCTCTCTCTCTGCCCCTCCCCCGTTCATGCTCTGTCTCTCTCTGTCTGAAAAATAAATAAAAACGCTAAAAAAAAATTTTAAAAAAAGCACTATGGAACTGGCACAAAAACTGGCACATATCAGTGAACAGAATAAAGAGCTCAGAGCTAATCCCACGCATATATAATCAACTAATATTTGACAAGGGTGCCAAGAACACATAATGGGGAAACTATAGTCTATTTAATAAATGGGGTGTTGGGAAAACTGGATATCTACATGGAAAACAGTAAAACTGTATTCTTCTCTTACACCATATACAATAAATTCAAAATATATTAAAGATTTAAATGTAAGACCTGTAAGCATAAGACTCCTAGAAGAGAACATGGGGGGAAAGCTCCTTGACGTTGAGTTCTTGGCAATAATTTTTTGGATATGACACCAAAAGAACAGGCAACAAAAGGAAAAATAAACAAGTGGACTACATCAAACTAAAGAGCTTCTGTACAACAAAGGAAACTATCAACAAAATGAGAAGAATGAGAGAAAATGTTTGTGAGTCATATACCTGATAAGAGAGTAATATCCAAATTATATAAGGAGCCCATACAACTCAATAGAAAAATAACAAACTAATTAAAAAGAGGCAAAGGTCTTGAATACAGTTTTCCAAAGGAGACATTCAAATGGTCAATAGGTAGATAAAAAGGGCTTCAACATCACTAATCATCAGGGAAACGCAAAGCAAAACCCAATGAGATATTGCCTCACACCTGCTGGAATGGCTATTATGAAAAAGACAAGAGACAGGAAGTGTTGGCAATGATGTGGAGAAAAGGGAACCCTTGAGCACTATTGCTGGGAATGTAAATTGGTACTGCCATTACAGAAAATGGTATAGATTTAATCAAAAAAATAAATCAAAATTTAATCAAAGAATTAAAATTACATGTGATCCAGCAATCCCATTTCTGGGCACATATCCAAAGGAAACTTTATCAATATCTCAAAGAGTTATCTGCACACTCATGTTTAATGCAGCATGATTTACAATAGCCAGGATATGCAAACAACAGAATTCCACCAGTAGCGGGAGCAGAGAGCGGGTCCCAGAGAGCCCTGAACAGCCCCACCACCCCCACCCATCTAGGTACCATCACACCTGGGAGGAGCTGCCACAGCCGGCCCAGTCACCATCACTGCAAGCATGAGCAGCAAGGCAGAGTCTCAGCAGCTGCCTGACACCCCCAGCACTGCCCACACCAAGCTGGGCATCACCAGGCAGCGGCACAGGGAGCGGTAACCCCGATGGCCTCACATCCACAGTGCCTTCCAGCAGGGACAGGGTCATCCAACCAAGGTTTTGGGAAGAGTGAAATGGCTCCGTGTAGGAAGACAGATATGGGTTTATCAAGAGGAATGACACCAAGGTAGATGTATTTGCACGCCAGACTGCCATAAAGAATAACCCCAGGAAGCACCTTTGCAATGGAGGCAGGGGATGGAGAGACTGCAGAGTTTAATGTTGTTGAAGGAGAAAAGGGTGCAAAGGCAGCAACTGTGATAGGCCCTCATTTCATCCCAGTGCAAGGCAGTAAATATGCAGCAAACCATAAGCATTATGGACGTTATGCATGTCACAGAAGTCCTCCACGCTACTGCCCCCAGAATTACCCGAATGGTGAGAGTGGGGAAAAGAACCAGGGATCAGACAGCGCTCCCTAAGGCCAGGCGCAACCGTGCCAGCCCTAAGGCAGGTGACGATTCCCACTTTACTTACGTGCGGAGACCCTACAGGCGTCAACCAGTCTTCCAACCCTCCTGGGCAGGGAGAGGTGGTAGAGGGAGCTGTCGAGCAGGGTGCAGGGGAGCAAGGTAGACCAGTGAGACAGAATATGTACTGGGGGGGGGGGGCCCGGTTTATAGACTATGATTCTGTAGGGGTACTGCTGACCGAAGGCAACAATGCAGAAGATAAGGGAAATCGCGATGAGACCCAAAGCCAGCGGTCACTTCAATGTTGGTACCGCTGCAACTTCAATTACAGAGGCCAAAGCCCAGAAAACCCTAAACCACAAGATGACAAAGGGATAAAAGCAGCCAGTTCACCAGCTGAAAAATCATCTGCTCCCAAGAATGGGCAGGGCAGGGCTGAGTAAATGCGACCTTACCATCTTTACCACCATCCAGGTTAGTCTTCCAACAATAAGAAATGTATAAGGAATTCTAGCAATAAGAAATGAACAAAAGATTAGAGTTGAAGACCTTAAGTACTTGTTTTTTGCCCATTGACCAGATAAATAGAACTATCTATGCAGCATGGGGGTTTTATCACTTTTACCTAAAGATGTCTCTTTTTGGTAATGACAAATGTGTTTAAAGGAAAAAAAACTGGTTTTTCTCAATACACCTTTAAAGGTTTTTTAATTGTTTCATATCCTGTCAAGCCGAGATTTTTAAGAACCTCATTTTTAATTTGTATTAAAAGTCTCTAACTTCATTTTTTCAAAAAAAGTCAACAAATGGCAAGCACCTGTTAATAAAGGTCTTCAACAATTGTCAAAACTAAAAAATAATAATAATACAAATTTTTAAAAACCATGGAAACAACCTCAGTGACTGTCAATACTAAGTAGATAAAGAAGATGTGGTATGTTTATGCAATGGACTATTATTCAGCCATAAGAAAGCAGGAAACCTTGCCATTTGGGACAACATGGATACACCTAGAGAATATTGTGCTAAGTGAAAAAAGCCATATATAGACAAATACTGGCTGATCTCACTTAAGGAAATCTCAAAAAAGTGAAACTCAGAACCAGAAGGTAAAGTGGATATTGCCAGAATTTGGAAAGTGGGGGAAATGGGGAGATGTTAGTCAAAGGTAACAAACTTTCAGTTATAAGAATACATTCTAATGGGGCGCCTGGGTGGCGCAGTCGGTTAAGCGTCCGACTTCAGCCAGGTCACGATCTCGCGGTCTGTGAGTTCGAGCCCCGCGTCGGGCTCTGGGCTGATGGCTCAGAGCCTGGAGCCTGTTTCCGATTCTGTGTCTCCCTCTCTCTCTGCTCCTCCCCCGTTCATGCTCTGTCTCTCTCTGTCCCAAAAATAAATAAACGTTGAAAAAAAAAAGAATACGTTCTAAGGACCTAATGTGCAATATGGTGACTCTAGTTAATAAAATACTGTATACTTGAAATTTGCTAAGCAAGTAAATCTTATATATTCTCACCGGAAAAAAATTGTAACTATTTTTTAATTGTTTTAATTAAATATTTAATGTTTATTTTTGAGAGAGAAAGAGACACAGCGTGTGAGCAGGGGAGAGGCAGAGAAGGAGGGAGACACAGAATCCGAAGCAGGCTCCAGGCCCTGAGCTGTCAGCACAGAGCCCAGCAAGGGCTAGAACTCACCAACCTCGAGGTCATGACCTGAGCCTGAAGTCAGACATTAACTGCTTAACCGCTTAACCCACTGAGCCAACCAGGCGCCCAAATTGTAACTATTTGAGGGGATAGATATGTTAATTAGTTTGATTGCGGTAAGCATTTCACAATGTATATGTACTTCAAATCATCACATTTTACTGCTTAAACATTAGCAACTTTCATTTGTTAATTATACCTCACTAAAGCTGTTGAGGAAAAGTCTTGAAGAATGGTTGGGGTAACAGATATGTTCATCATCTTGAATGTGATGATGGTTTCACAAAAGTATATGTGTCAAAGCTTATCAAATTGTACACTTTAATATTTAAATTTTTATGTCATTTATATCTCAATAAAGATTTTTTTACGTTTATTCATTTACTTTGAGAGAGAGCAAGCACAAGCGAGGGAGGGGCAGAGAGAGGGGAGAGAGAGAAAAAGAGAGAGAGAGAGAGAGAGAGAGAGAGAGAGAGAGAGAATCCCAAGCAGGCTCTACACCATCAGCAGAGACCAGGGCTCATAACCCATGAACCATGAGATCATGACCTGAGCCAAAATCAAGACTCGGAGACTTAATCGACTGAGCCACCCAGGCACCCCAGTAAGGATTTTTTTTAATAGTGATAGTTATAAAAAATGACCTTGACAGAATATTATGCAGCTTTTAAAATATCATTTATGAAGAGTTTATAATGAGACAAAAAATACTTATGGTATATATCATGCTACAAAAACAGCATATCTGAGTATATTGTTTAGAACTATGCAAAACAAAATATCAAATAATAAACCAGGCATAAATAAAATTTCTTTAAGAAACACACAGCTTGTTTCTGAGAGATGAGGCTCACGTGTTAACTTTTCCTTCCTTGTCATTTTTAGTATTTTATAAATTCTCTAAAATTGGCATTTAATTTTTGTTGTAACATGAAAAACCCAAAAATTCAAGGTTATTTCCTTGAAAAAGAAAAACTATAGTTCTCAGGTCTCCATTAATACCTTTGGGAAATCCAGGTGGGGGAGCAGTGCCTTCGTCAACAGGAGAAGCGGCCACACCAGAAAGAGCTGGCTGTTTTTCCTCACACAAGCATGGCCAACTCCACTGCCTCGGGGAAGATCAGTATAGCATGTCTACCCAGAGCAGTGTATACCCCAGACCTCTCAGGTTTGTACAGGACGGTGTGTTCAACCTTCCCTTTCTGCACTCTGACAGCCAGTGTCAGACCCTGCCACCTTCAACCTCAACAGAAGCTCCCGGCCATGAAGCCTCTTGTCATTGTCCTTGTCTTGCTCTCCTGTGTGGACCCAGCTCTGGCAGGTAAAATGGGACTCTTCCTGGGGAACCATTTGTCTAGAAGAGCAATTCCACTAAGCAAACCTACAAATGTCCTCCTACTGTGGACCCTTTTATTTTCAAAGTGGAAGCATCAACCGGTTTGATGTTAGCAAGACCTGAGCTTGAATCTGGGCTCTCCAACTTGTTAACTGTGCAGCTTTAGACAAAAGTCAAAGCTTCTCTGAACCTTAGTTTCTTCATTCACAAAATGGAAACAAAACTAACCTCTGAGTCTTGCCAGGATTAAGTGTGCTGATGTATAGAACAGGCCTATACATAACAGGTACATGACTCCTGAGAGTTTTCATAATATTTTCATTAGTAATACCCCATCCTGTTTTGCCACTATTGTTTTGTCCCTAATTTAGGAACACGTCCAGGCAGAATAGTTCAAAACAGAAAATAGTGATAACACAATTTGTTAGCTTTCTAATTTACTGAAATTCATAATTTGTAGATTCCTTAGATACGTGGAGAAACAGATTTGGAACTACTTGTTCCAAGAGAATTAAGGAGCTTTACGTGCTAAAAGAAATATCTGATCAGGGACACATGAGAGAATGCTGACTGGCCTCAAACTGTAGCTTGACCACATTCATGACTGATTTTTAAAATCTCTCCTGAATATTCTCTTCACTCAGTGCTATTGAATCAGTTCAAGTCCATATGTTATAGGGTCCATTTAATTTCTCATCTGCCCTCAAGTAATCTCTAGGCAGGTGAACCAGATTTTCTGGTCACCCGACTCATTAGGCTGGATTTAAGAATCCATACAACCCAGGCCTCTTGAAGCTATTGATGGGACCAATTCCACTATGGTTTATGGAAATGGATTCATGGCTTCTAGACAACTGAGATAGTCTACGATATTCACTTTAGTGCCTTATACATTCCCAAAGCTGTCATTTCCGTAGGAATTTCTTGTCTTGTTACATAGCCCACTTCACTTCATCTCCCTGGGCTTTCATCTTGCCAGGTAAGTAACCCTGATCCCTTTTCTGCCCTATAGGACAATTACCTTCCAGGACATGATAACTTGCACAGGATATGGGCTGACTCAAAATTTCTACAGATGACCAAAATACTTGACATTCTTTTCCTTTTAACACCTTCTTACATACGGAAATAAAGACATATCCATATTTTGATAATTCTACAGAGTAACATGTCCATAAAATCATAAGCTCAGCTCAAAATGCCCTGGGTCCCAATAAGACATTCTAAATCTTCAGAATATATTTTATCCTCCACTGAACTCATCATAGCATTCTGCTTTGCAAATGATTCTGTCTTCCGCGCTCTCATAGATATTTTGTGTTTCTTCTCTCTTGGTCTAGATTGAAAATTCTTTGAGTTTAAGGTCTACATTGCATTCAAATCTTATAAAAACTAGCTTGGGAAAGAATACATAATTAAATAATGAGTGAATGACTACATGCATAGGTAACTTGATTGTTTAGAGTATATTAACTTACCAATTTGGGCAAACTTCCAAGCTACTAATTGTCTCAGCTCAGAGTACCATAACAAAATACCACTGACTGTGTGGTTTCAACAAAATGAATTTTCTCACAGTTCTGTAGGCTGGACAGTCCAGATCAACCGCAGGCTGATTCTGTTTCTGATGGGAGTTATCTTCCTGGATTTTGGACAACCAGCCTCTCTCTGTGTCTAAGAGCCCCACCCTTAGAGATGCAATTCACTTTACCTCCTAGAATCCCTCTCTCCAAATAGTCACATTGGGGGCGAGGGTTTCAACATACGAATGGAAGATGAAGGATAAAGTGAACACAATTCAATTCATAGCACTAGTTCATCCTTTTTCAACTACAGAATCAATCATTATGATTAAGACTTGATTAAGTCCCCTTGGAATCCAGTTTGATAGAAATGGAGGCACTAATTCTGTGACTTTTTGGACTAAATAATTATTTTTGCATTCATCTTCTTTCCAGGCTTGAATCCACTGTCATCAGAAATGCACCAGAAATGCTATGGGAATGGTATCTGTAGACTTGAGTGCTCTACAAGTGAAATGTTAGTTGCCTACTGTATGTTTCAGCTGGAGTGCTGTGTCAAAGGAAACCCTGAGCCCTGACACAAGAAGCCAGTGAATGCCAATTAACTTGAAAGTAATTGACATCCTCTCCACCAACTTTCACACAGCCAGGGAATTTAGATTAAACTGTGACACTGTGATGTGCCCACAGTTGTTGGCTTGCAGCATTTTTTACATAAGCCATCAGAATCTTATGATTTTGCATTTGAAAAGCTGAGCTGCAGCCTTACTCAAGACAGCTAAGCTTCTCATGAAAACAACTTAGGATATGTTTTCTCGCTTCAAAGTGATATCCATGCTCTTCTCAGTGCCTATTTGTCTCTTTACTCTTAGAAAGGACACCTTAATTATTCATAGAAGCTTCAAATTACAGAAACACCCAGTCCCTTCAGTTCCCCCATTTTCTTTCTCTTTGTACCGCCCATCTTAGAGAAACAGATCTGCCCTGGCCCCCTGATGACTTTGTAGGTTTCTCACAAAGACCACATAGGTGAGGCTTAACTGCAGGCTGGCCCAAGTCTTCACTGAGTCTGACCCTGTAGTTCTTCGTGAAACACAAGGGAAAAGGCTTTGTGGTAATGGGAAGCCACGAAGTAGGTTCTCAGCCACAACCATGATTTCAGAGAGTGAAAGCACAGGACTTCCCCCCTCAACCTCCTTAGGGTTTAGTTACAGGCTACCAGACCACTTGGCTATGGTTTGCAGTCAACTCCTCAGCAGCAGAGTGGCCCAACACCTCTGCTACCTCTCATCTGGCCCCTCTGGTTGGAGGTCATCCTGTGGCACTAGGAACTAACACCACGCTGATCTTACTTTGCCGTGCGTATAAGTAATAAATTGTCTGAATCCATTTGGACTCACTGTTTTCTTTACCAGTCAACCCTATGAAGGTGTCCAGGCAAACCTACAAATTCTATTATGGTGCTGATTATCCCACTGACTACAGTGATGCTGCTGCACGTCTGCCTAACCGCTTAACACCGTCAACCTATATACAAATCATGAGTGCGGAGTTCTGCACTTGCTGTTCAGGATAAGGGGCACAGCGGCCGAGGGGGTAGATTCTGGTTGTCTTCTTTAACTTCAGTGCTGAACACAGCATGGTCTCTCTAGTAATTCTGAGAAGATGGAGCTGTAGCTGCAAATAGTCGATTGGCGATCTAGTACATGGCCGAGGAAACAACGGCTAAGTCCTGGCTTGAAATCACAGTACTGCCCTTGCAGCCACTCTCTGCAACTGGACAGAGAAGAAAGGAGAAGAGTAGATGAGAAAGATGAGGGGTTGTGAGGAGCTCTACCCTCCCAGACGCTGTTCAGTCTTTGAGAAAATCCAGTGTTTGTGACCTTAGGGAGGAAGGTACTAAAAATATGGTAGTGTGTCCTCTTCTCAGAAGCCCGAACTCACCTGCAGAGTCAGTAGGGGAGATGGGCCAAATAGAATAGCATTAGAGATGGCCTGGAATGGCAGTCATGGTTGTTAAGTATCCAGAGTAAGGAATGCATCCAGACAGGGCCCAGGAAAACTATTAGACTCTGAAGGAGGCAGGGGAATCTTCATCCAAAGAATACTGGATCTTATCAAAGTGTGACTCCAGACCTCCTAACATCCCAGGTAGCCTTAGGCTTGCTTCTCATTTTACTCTTTCACCTCAGATGTACATCCTCTATACACACAGATAACTGAAATTTGAAAGCAATTCAGTCTGCTATCTGAGGAGCCTCTCTTTCCAAATGGATCAAAGGACATCATTCTCTCATTAGGGAGGTGATCGTCAAAGCAACAGAGAAAACATGAGTTCTCTCTGCTGGAACAATCAGAAACTCTCTGGAATCTGGTTAAGTCTTGAACAAACAGAAATTCCCACCACTAGGGGGAAAAAAAAGAAAGAAAGAAAAAGAAAGTTGGATAGGCCAACAGTACGCTGCCTTTACCTTACTGTTCCATAAACCCAAACCTCTACATTCATATGCCCTGTCAGGAAATGAACTCTGTTATTAACAATGGTAGCTGTAAACTGTTTTATTCTTTTGACATAAGGTGTTGAAAGGGCGGGCCTACGCCAGCCGACTCCATCTTGTTCTGTGTCCTTCACCTAGACCACGCCTCCTCCCCTTGAGTAACCTCCCGCTCACCCATTCAAACTTCCTGATCAAAACAGCCCGGAGACCTGCAAAACAGGACTCCGACCCTTCCCCAGCCAATCAGCTGAGGCCACAGCCATTACCTCACCAACTGCCCCTAGACCCCTATAAAACCTTTCTGCTTTTGAAACTAGCGCTCTCTCTCCCCGGTATCTCCCCACTGCATCGGTGCAGGTAGGGGATTGAGCTCGAGCTAGCTCGAATAAAGGCTCTTTTGCTTTTGCATGGGACTCGGCTCCCTGGTGGTCTTTGGGGATCACAAATTCTGGGCATAACAGTGTGAATATTACACAAGCAACTTCTGGCTTTTCTGGGATTCTGTAAATATGGAACCTGAAAAGAAATTGGCTAACTATGGTTAGTCTCTGTACATGGACACATCCAAAAGAAACTTAATTCTGGGGCGCCTGGGTGGCTCGGTCAGTTAAGCGTCTGACTTCTGACTTCGGCCCAGGTCATGATCTCGCGGTCCGTGAGTTCAAGCCCCGCGTTGGGCTCTGTGCTGACTGCTCAGAGCCTGGAGCCTGTTTCAGATTCTGTGTCTCCCTCTCTCTCTGCCCCTCCCCTGTTCATGCTCTGTCTCTCTCTGTCTCAAAAATAAATAAACGTTAAAAAAAATATTTTTTTAAAAACAAAAGAAACTTAATTCTAAGATCCAAAGCATTTTTTTTAAATAACGTATTTACCAAATCTCTCAGTAAAGCCACAAAATGTGGAAGGGTATTCTCACAATAGAGAGCAAACTTCCTTTAGAATTATTTTTGGATATCAGTCCCTGACATCCCACTCATCTGGTGGCAAAATTGCAGTCTAAAAATGATACATGGTGTCCATCAATAGATGAATGGATAAAGAAGATGTTATGCACATGCACACATGTGCACACACACACACACACACACACTGGAATATTAGTCATAAAAAAAGAATGCCATTTGAGACAACATGGATGGACCTAGAGGGTATAGTGCTAAGTGAAATAAGTCAGACAGAGGAAGATAAATACTATATGATTTCACTTATATGTGGAGTCTAAAAAATAAAACAAATGAACAAAACAGATTCTTAAATGCACAGAACACACTGGTTGCCAGAGGGGAGGCAGGTAGGAAGATGGGTGAAATAGAAGAAGGGGACTAAGAGGTACAAACTTCCAGTTATAAAATAAATAAATCACAGAGATGAAAAATACAACATAGGGAATATAATCAATAATATTGTAATAATGTTGCATGGTTGACATCTGGGGACTACACTTATCATGGGGAACACTGAGTGATGTATAAAATTGTAGAATGTGTTGTACACCCAAAATGAATATAACATTGTACGTCAATTATACTTCAATAATAAATAAGAAAAAATAAAGAATAAAAATGACATCTGAGATGTCTAGAAGTTGTGCTAGAGATTCTGAGAAGACTCAAGAGCAAGAAAAAGCTCTGTCTTTAAGGAAATTCGTTTTTACTTAGAGCTGACTTAAATAAGTGGATTTGATGTCTCTCAATTAGCCAAGGAGCTGATGAACTAGAACTGCCTTTAAAGATTCACAGATCATGGCAACAACCATAGAGATAGATTTTTAACCCAGCCTTCTCCTTTTGCTCCTTTTAGTGGAGTGAGACAAGATAGGGTAGAGAAAAAGAATCCATTACCTTCCCTAGTGCTCTGAGTGACTCTCTTCACCAATTGCTTCCTGTGACCATAAGCCGGGGAGATAGAGACATCCTCAATCTCTCTCCTTTTCTCGTATGTCACACAAAAGTGGGACGGCCTCCATAGCTTGAATGTGTCCTAAAATCAGCTAGAATATAAAAATAATCTTGCCTTATTAAACTAAAATCCCATAAAGAGCAGGATGTTGGTTTTCTGATGCTTTGTATTTCAGAACATTTTCATCATTCAGGATTTGCATTTCAAATCCTGTTAGCTTGTTTAAATATTGGAAACCTCCGTTCATTTGTATATTTGATCCAATGTGCAATCCATACCCTTCTGACTCAATAACTGTGAATTATTTGCTTTACTCCATCGAGTTCATTCTCTTTTTTATTTTCCCAAACAGCTATTTTGAATTCTTTGTAAGGTGAATTGCAGATCTCCTTATCATTGGACTCAGTTATTAGAGATTATTGTGATCTTTTGTGGTGCCATGTTTCCTTCATTCTTCATGTTCCTTGGAGCTTTGTGCTCCTGATCTCCCATCTCAAGTATCAGTGTCCTCTTCCCATCATTACTAGCTGCATTCAGATGAGAGGTACTTTTTGTTGGTCTTGCTTATATCTGGGGCTTTTTCTGACCTTGTATAGATACACCTGCTCCAAACTGCAGGTACCCTCTTATAGCAGAATTCTTAAGTTTTTGTCTTCATTCAATTTTCAACACATCAGGATGATTGCTAGAAAACTTATTTTCCCAAATGGACCACTACAGCCCACAATTGTGATTTCTCCCTTGACACACACAGGCTTTGGTTCCCCACCATGTTCACTCCCACCTACTGGGGCTCACTTTTGCCACCACCCTTAGAAACACATACAAGGAACCAGTCACAGTGTGGAAGAGAAAGGGGAAATATGAGTTTGGCACTCAGAGAATTAGGGGAGATTGCAGACCAGGTGGATTACCACTAGACTTCTTAATGGCCACTAAAATGGCCAAAATTCAGAACATTGACAACAGCACTGTTGGCAAGGATGTGGACTAACAGGAACTCTAATCATTGCTGGTGGGAATACAAATTGTGCAGCCATTTCAGAAGACTGTTCGAGAGCTTTTTAAAAAACTAAAAATACTCCGAATATGGTCCAGCTATCACACTCATTGGTATTTATCCAAAGAAATGGAAACCTATGTCCACACAAAAATCTGCACACTTGTGTTTAGAGCAGCATTAT